AGTCTGAACCGCAGGTGACATTGACATCTAACTTCAGTTACCAGTGGAGTTTTGAGGGCTGGAGACATCATGGAGCTCTGAAATATACTATTATATACTATAAGAAATAATTATATACATATATGGCACCTATAAGAACAAAGTGGTTTACATTTTGCTGCTTTGGAACTGAGGAAGAAGGGCGTTTGGGACTTCAGGGGCATTAACAGCTGTAACAAAACATTGCATCATTTTGCCCTGATGCTCTCTCTCAAGCATGGAAAAGATTTTGGTTGCAGCACACTTCTTTCCTTATTTTACTCTTATGTTTTTTTTAATAGCTGTATGTGTACATTCTTATATATGTAAACTGATTGCTTTCAGTATATTTTGTTAAAACACCCTCTATTCCCCCCAATTCTCTTCAATCTCTGTTTATGGCATTTAGTAATGTGTAAAACTGTAATGAAACAGTATGCTTCCTTTTCACTCCTCTTTACTTAACTGTAGTGATGTTTGATTTAACAACAGCTGCTTTTAACTTTGATTTGTATTAAGAGCATTACTTTGTAATGCGTATGCAATGAAGTTTGTATCTGGTCAGATCTAAATGAAAGTCCATAAAGGTTCTTTCCTTGCTGGTACTACAGAAAAAAATAGGGTTTAGAATTTGTGTTGTACTTCCTTACAGTTCCTATAACACTAAACAAATACTGAGAATGCAGTTTTGTGAGTTCATAAAGCATAATTTATGACTTGGTGTTCAACTTCATGTGAAAAATTGACTTACATGATTCACTTGTAACTAGTTCTAGGCAGTAACCTGAAGGTGGATATCTAAGGGGGGAGGTGCCTAATGAACAATGGCTTCAGAGAATGATGCAAAGTGAATATAAGACAGCATGAGTGTAATCACATCTTTTAAAAAAGACCACATTGCCCCACTGTAATTGTTTTCTGTTTCCTTGATTTCTAACTGTGTTTCTTACTGCTTAGGAAATGTGAAGAAGTGTAAGCAGCTCCTTCAGAAAGCTGTGGAGTGCTCTGCTGTTCCACTAGAAATGTTGGAAACTGCTCTACAAAACTTTCATTTACAAAAAAAGCAGTTGCTTCCAGATGAGGAGAAGGAGAACTTCGCAGGTAATTGCAATTTTTTAAAATGTTGGTTGAATTTATGCATGTTGTAATTCTAGATTGGAAAAAAATCTTTCTAATGTTTGTCCCTTCTAGATACGAACACGTAATCTGCTATCGTCTTGTAAATAGTCATATTTATCCTATTATTAATCTTATTCCTTCAATATTTGGTTCCATCTTCAATGCAGTGACTGTAGTTTGCAGGAGCCATAGGATGGCAGCTTTAATTCTGTAGAGGGTGTTCCTCTGACTGTCACTAAGTCTCTGTTACAAAGTACAAATACCTACAGCTGAAAGTGTGAAACAAGAGCTACTGGTGGTAGAGAAGAATTAGAACTGAAATATACAGACTAAACTATACAAATAGCTTACTCTGAGGTGTATCTTGTGACAGGCTGGTGAAGTTCTGGCAGTCATTTCAGTGAAGTCAAATCTAGGAAAAATAATCCATTTCAACTTTATTTTACAAATGAACAAAACCCATGTATTTATCAGTACAAAATTGAAGTGCTTGACTGTATCATAAAACATAACTGATACTCGTTGCTGGGTATATAACTTTAATAAGGGAACAGTTACCTCATGAAGTTTTCAAGAGAAATTTGTTTGGAGTGGAAATGAGCAAAAAACATGGTTCAAGTTAAGTATTGAAGTGCATGTAACTAACTCTTCCAAGAGTGGTGTCTAACACTTCCATACTTTTGCTTTGTACAAGGACAGAATTAGTGCAAAATAGGTCTGACTTCATTTCCTTAGGGATATGTCTTCAGGAATGTGGTTTGAGATTTGGCTGGCTCCTGTTGAATCAACCTCTGTGTGAAACACTAGTTGTGGGAGGAAAAAACCCCAAACATTTGGCAACACTTGCAGCAGTATTCAGTTACGGTATTAATTTTTTAATAAACTTCATTTTGGTCCTATTCTGTTTGCCATTCATCAGATATAGACATTGTAAGTGCCCCAGCTGATGTACTGTGTCACAGGAGAATATCCTGTGGAACATCCTTCATGGATTGTACAATTTCTATCTGATATTATTGGGTTTACTTGTTGCAAAGCTAAGGGAATACCCATTAGAAAATACATGGCAAAAGCCTGTCTGCCATTTAGGAAGCAGTGAACTTCGGGGGAAGAGTAGGCTCATTTAGTTGTTAATTTATATGAGCTTGTAACATTAGGTATTTGAAAAATGCTAAGTATTCATTCAGGTATTTAAAGATAAAAGTTTAAAAGGCAAATAACAGTGGACTTGAAATATCTCAAACTTGGGGATGTATGTGGCCTAAATAACTGAACTTGGCTTTAAGTGAATTTGTACGGTCCTTCTGTTTTAATGGATAGGTATTTAAGTCTTGGCTGTTTCATATTTCCATTCAAAGAGCTGCTTTTGAAAGCTTTTTATTTGAAAACAGGAATGCTGTATGTGTAAATGCTTTTTTTCACAGCTTCAAAAGATTGTTAAGAAAGCTTTTGACAAGAGTTATGTGCTATTATAGCGTAGTGATGCAAATATAAAAACTGTGCAGCAAGTCTAGAAGCCTTTGGTTTAATTCCTTTTTCCCCTCTTTCATTCATGCACAGCAATCTGAAGTATTTGATGTACCAGTGCAATCAAACATGTTTAGCTGGGAAAAATAATTTGATACTTAAAAAAAAAAAAAGGTCATAGAATCATTTTAGAATCATTTGGGTAGGAAAAGACCCTTAAGATCATACAGTCCAACTGTAGTCATGAGTAGTATGAGGCTGATAGGCTGTCTCAGACTGTGAAGGAGTAAAAGTATTGTAGATCACCAACTGAATGTGAGAGTCCAGTGGTTAGCTGGGGGTGGGGGGCGGAATCTTTCTGTGTATACGGAAAAAAGAAAAAGAAAAAAAGTGGGATGTGTGTGTGAGGTGGTGATGGTACTGGATTGGTAAACTGCTAATTCAAAAAGTATGTTCAGTGTCAGTGTTATGTAAACAAAAACTTAGAACTATGTTATACATTGAGGCACTTTTATTTAACTGAGTAGTTTGGTCTATTGGCGTAAATACCTTATAAAAAATTAAGGACTAGATATAGCTAATATTGTGGTGTTCATCTGCCAGAAGTCTGGCTTCTGCTGGCTGAAGGTAGAAGGGGGACATGGGAGGATTCAAAACAAAAATCACATTAATTTTAATGAACAGATCCAGACTTTAAAAATGTTAAGAGAAATGGAATATAAAAAAGTCCTTAAATTGTGATTTCTTGAGAGGCTGTGGATAGCCATGAATTCTTCTGTTTATTGGTCAAGCAAATAATTTCCTATACTGATGGAAAACAAGGCCTATGCGCTGTAGAATATCATATTATATAGTATCTTAGTACATGTTCCTTGGTGTCTGATTGTCTTTTTAAAAAAATATCTTGCATTGTGGGAGAGATCTTTCTGTCTGAATAAGCAGATATTCATTTCAATTTAAAAAGGGTTTGTTAGGAGAATAACTGAATTTAAGAGGTTACTGTATATCTGAAGGCTCTTAAAATAGCTCGTACTCCACAATGTTCCCTAAACACAGAATTAAGCTACCTTTTCTATTTTGTAACACATGAATGCAATGTGTTCATGGGCAGTTACTAAAGTGTTGATGTGTTGGCATTAGTGTCTTCTGGCTTCTTGTGGTCATTTGTTCATCTCTGAGAAATGACCTTGCCTTCAACTCTAGGCAAAAATAGTTTGGATGATGACCATGTTCTGAGCTGTTTATTTGTGGGTTTGAGGTTCTAGAATGACTTTTCAAATAACTTGATTGCAGGTTCTGCTTTACCGTAAAGTACATGTGAAATATATACTTTATTTTCACAAAGGTCATTAATAATGTGACTAAGAATTGACTTGACATTTCATTTTAAGATTAATGTACAACGTCATATAACTTTTGCCAGATCTTCAATAACTGAGCAAGATTCTCTCCTGGGTTAAGATGGGCTGGTGAAAGAGCTGTTTGCTATTGCCTGCCTCGATCTTCCTGACCTGGCAGTAGAGTACAGCTTATAAGACCACTCTCAAATTTGCTACCAGTGAAATCAGCTGGTTTAATTTAACCCAACTAACTGCTTAGACTAATTCAGTTGAATTTACCTGATATAAATTAGGGATTACTCTCATAAGTGCTGTGTTGGCAGGTCAGTGAGGTAGAGGGACCAGCAAAAGGTCTGAGTTAATAAATTCTTCAGCTGGTTAGTAGAGTTGGCTCTAGAAGGGAATGTGCCTGTGTCCTAACTCTGTCAGGAGGTTTGGAGGTCACTTTGAAATTTCTTTCAGCCTGGGATTTGTCAGTATGAAAACCATACTGAACTGAAATTGGGAAGCTTGTTACAGTTTTAGTCATTAAAACCCTATTTAAAGTGCCTCTCTTTCTAAGAGGGGGAAGGAGGATCTGATGGAGAAAACCAAGTGTTTAATTGATGATTAGTAATTCTGATGTCCTGATTCCTGTTTTCTACTTCTGACACAGTAGGTAGTTCTAGGGATTTAGTATGCAGCCTTCCAGAAATTGTACTGAAAAACCTAAAGGAGAAGGTACGCCTGTGAAAGATTTATGTTAATTGCTACTTTTTTAATAATTTTCACTAGAACTGAAAAGGCTGCATGCTTTTGCAATTGCAAGCACCCATTAAATGCTTTAGATACAGATCGATCTACAGAAACATAAGTGAAGTAGCACAAAAATGTTGTATCAAAATGAAATGCCACATAAATGAAGTCAGAGCCCAAAAGCAAGTGTTCAACAGGAGAACAGGACAGGTCAGGGATATTATCAATATCTTGGGTCTCTGCGGTAGCAGGGAGTTTGTAAGGATTGTCTAGACTGTTGTACCTTTGAGATACTACCTTTGAAACAAGCTGGATTTTGATGCTTAACTTAGGATTTATTATAGTTATTTAGGTGTGGGTGTCCTTGTCACATGTGCTGATAAATAACTGGAATGAACAAATAAAGAATCCACATGTAAGCACTTTTAAATCTCCTGAGGAGTCCTTGTGGAGCAAGCTTTGGAAGCATCCTTCAGATGATGCGGTTTTGGAGTGGAGGTTTATTCTCAGAATGTAGGTTTGGAAAGTCATCTTGCTCTGAAAGTGTGGGTTTTTCCTCACTCCCCCAAGATACTATTTAAACCAATGTTTTTGGTGCTTGTATTCCTCCTCCTTCATATAGGATAAGATTAACAGTGAGGTTTTTCAGTTAGAAGTTAAATTGCTTGGATAGTCTTTGGACATCTTGAATCTCCCTTTTATGTGTTTAAACATAGTTTACAACTATAGCTGTGTAGAAAAAAAAAGTAGCTAATACATTTAACAATTGTTACAGGCCATTTTGTGCTTATCCTGGAAAGCTCCTTCTGGTTCTAAGTTTGTGTTTGGTGGGTCTTTTTATCTCAATTATCACATCTTATATAATTACATAAAATGTCTGTCTAGATCAGTAGAAAACAGTGATATATGTCATTGATACTAGATTACTGCAAATGTATGTGTTCTTAAATTTCACTTATTATGAAACAACTTTTTTTTCTTTTGAAACAAATACAATCTGCAGTATTACCTGAATAATTCTAATTCTAACTAATTTACCTACAGTATCAAGTACACAAGAGTCTGGACTTCAGAGCATAGCTGGAAATCACAGAAGCCTAAAAAGGAATGATTCTGGTGAAAATTCTTCTACTGTTACCAGACTTTTTCTTGGGTAATGGATTGATTTCTTATTTCATTTCTTAAAACATCCTTTAAACCCAAACCAAACACACACTACAGTGTTGTGTTGTTTTTTTTTTTTTTTTTCTTTCCCTCAGGGAGGAGAAGTCACAGGAACTTGATGCTCTAGTTAATTACCCCAATCCATTTAGACCACTAAACAAATCTAACCAGGTAGAACATGTAACATTTTGCTTCAAAATCTTAAACTTTTCATTCTGCTTTACACATCTGATAACTTTCAATTTCTTTTAGGCCTGCCCCTTTGGGAGGGTTCCTGTTAAACTAGTAACTGATGCTGGTGATGATGTGACAAAGACAGATGTCCCACTTACAGCTAGTGTTATGAAGAGGTATGGGTATTGGGTTTACTACAGCAGAACAGATTTTAATACTCCTTTTCAACAGTGTTATTACTGGACGGTGGAAATGTCAGATGTTAAGAATGTTAAAATTGATCTAAAGATTATTGACAAATAGTCATAATTGCAATACCTATTGCAATTACCTACTTCCTATCTTACTACTCAGATTCTTTGTATGAAAGAATGCAAAGATGAATTTCTTGTTCTGGCTAATCAGTAGGCTCAAAAGAAATGGAGACTAAGTAAAAAATAAATTTTGTTCAAAATAACTTTACATTTATGTATTCCAGTTTCTAAAATTAGATATAAGGCAGTCCAAAAGATTTTTAAATCCTCATTTTTAACATAATCCATATGATAATGATTGTATTAAGAAAGCGATTATAGTCATTTTATTGTGAACTACCGTTCAGCAGTGGAAGAATCTGCCAACTAAAATAGCACTTTGCTACATGTTACCTGACTGTAGCATAGTTTGAAAGTAAACAGAGGAGAAAGCCCCGCCCTGTCCCCAATCAAGTCTGTTGTGCTAACTTTCTTCCTCTCTTACTGCTGTGTGATTAAATCCATGCAGAAATGGGAACTTTGGGGAGAAATATGCAGCCAAAGGGTAAAAGCTGCATACTTAGCCTCTCAGAAGTTAGTTAAAGTCCAATGTTCTGAATCCGTGAAAGTAGTGGGATAAGGTATTTCACATAATAGTATTGTTCTGTAACTATTTCAAAACTTACTTTCGAACGCATCATTGGGATTTAGGATCATAGCTGTAGCTTATTACTGCTTTCTATTGAAGACAACTGATTAAGTCATCTGTCATTTCATAGCATGATGGTGGTACTGTTACAGATTTTTTTTGTACTGTTTCTCACTTGGCTGTCAGAGTGGACCTGCTTTTCTGTATATTTGAAACTTGTAGCCAAAAGTCTTCATACAACTGCCTTTTTCACCTGGTTCACAAAAGGCGATCATTACATTATATGTTGGCATGTGATGTAATTAACAATGTTATTTCAATAGGCAACTATCCAGCTCCAAATGTACAGCCTTCGTTTCACCTTTTCCACTATCAGAACCAAAATCTAGTGGGGGTGATTCATACGACCTGGGAGACTTACAGGTAACTTAAATCTTTTAAAAATAGATATAAGGAATTCTACCTGGCTGTCCTATGGTATTAGAAAGGAAAATAATAACACTTTTTTCAATGCAAGAAAGAAATAGGGTAGATTTTTATGTTAAGCAATCAGTTGTGAATAGAAACATTCATTGTGGCTTTTAAATTTGAAAATTGTTATGCATAATCAGGCATTAAGAGTGAGCTTTCTCTGAACAATACATCTGATGGGAGAAATGGTGAGGGGGTGTTAAAAACCTGTCACACGATTTATGAAGAGGGGATAAACAGATTTCATCTTGACTACAGGAGCTCTTTCAGCTGTAGCCATGAGTTTTATCATGGGAAGTACTCTATTCAGTGAAGTCCATTTAATTGAGTTCATTAAGTGCTCTATAGAGCTGTAAATTATGGCTTTTGATAGAGATTAATTTCAAGCTGTGCCTTGCATTTTCATGTCCTGTGTCTCCGTCCCGTGAAAGAAAATTCAAGAATAGAAAGCATTTAGGTCTTTGGTTTATAGAAACTGTATGATGGAAATTCAGAGTGTTGATGGATTTAAAAATAGTATCAGTAATACTTGTCTGTGTACCCTGCACTGTTTTCTGAAGCATATTTGGTTTGTGGTGTGTCGGTCATTAATTGTCATAAGGAATTGTCTTTCGGACACTATGCTTGGGATCTCCTTTGATTCTTTTTAAGATGCCTTTTGTTTTCTTTAGTCCTTACAAGAAAAAAATTCTTTACAGTTGCAGATGTTGGATGAGAACAGCTTAGAAACTGCTACCAATTCAACTGTAACTCTCAAAGCCAAAATGGATACAAGTCTTGCAATGAAAAGAGAAGGTAACTATTAATATGTGATGGTTTAGTAGTTTGAAATAGAATAAGCATTGAAAACTTGCTGTTCTGTATTTTTTTTTAAAAAAAAACGCATTATGATGTAAAATATTCTTCAAAAAGTGAAAAAGTTGGACTGCTTGGAATTGGGGAGCATTTAATCAAAATTTGGCTTTTGAGTGGTATCTGTGAAAGTAGTGTAAAAAACCAAAACAAACAAAAAAACCCAAACCCACAAAAATCCCCACTGTAACACTGTCCAAAAGTGTGGAGTGCTGGGCTTGAAGTAAAATGCCAATGTATAGTGCTAATTCATTGTGTCCTTAGCTCTTACAATACATATCAATAGGCATTGAAATAGCAACAGTGCAAGGTTTCAGATTAAAACTTGCCAGCCTGAGTGTAGAAAAATGTTGCCAGAGTATCAGATGACAGTGCCAGTTTATACCAAAAAAAGGTGAATGTTGGCTGAGAAAAATTCAAACTAAGGCTACCCCTAAAGAACATTATAATCCTGTTTAGATATTTTTGAGACAGACTCAAATTATAGTAGTTTGCTTCTCCTGTGACTTTCCTTGTATATGCTCCTAGCTTACCTTATAGATGCCATAGCTCTAATTTCTTTTGTTGAAGTTTAATCTGAGTTTGTTTTGGCTGAAGGAAGCTTAAAAAGGTGAGACCATGACACTTTTCACTTGAAAAAAGTGCAAAGCTCCTGCAGCTCTCTCTTAATGCAGAACACCTGCATCATCTGTTGCTTTCAGCACCCTTTCTATCCTGTTTACCCATTAGTACATGAAAATCTAGGTAGCCTTTTCTGCTGCTGTTTACGTATCAGAGACTATTTGTCATATTAGGATTGTTTACATATCTGAATTATTTGCTTCTGCTTTTGTCAGGCTTCTCTTGTCTTTTTGCTGGTTTTGTCTGTTAGGTACCTGTTGTCCTTGATCAGCTTCACTGCCCCATGCACATTTACTTCTAAATGTTAAATTTATGTCACTTTGGGCATGTCTTAACTTGTTTAATATAGTGTTTTCCTCACCTGAGTTTTACCACAGCATATACATGCATCTTAATCTTTGGGTAAAATAAGTGTCTTTAATGTCATGGTTATTTTCTTATGAGGTTTCCCAAAAGTATGAAAACACTTTGTCAAAAGGCAAATTGTTTGCCCCCTTTTTTCCTATGTCTTGCAAAAAACCCTGAATTATTTTCACCATTCTTTTTATATACTTAGTGTAATCCAATTTATGAACTTGTATGGCAGGGATCCTTTGTGTGAATGACACTTGTACTAAATATATGTGTACTTTTTAGATACTTATTAAATTTCAGTTTCAATCAAATGCCCTGTTACACTTTTGATTACTGTAAGTGCTCTTGCTTTAAACAACATGTTGTTTCAGCCTTAACTGTACTGTTCCTGGTGCTCCTTGATTATCTGTAAAGATAGCACATGATGATGCTCCTGTCTAACTTTTAGAAACTTTATTTTTTAAAGAAATCTAAGTTTTGCTATCATTTGAATGGCTGAGATTCTTATTGCATTATTAACATATTTTTGGGGAATGACTTTTAACTTATTTTAGAAACCCATTTTTAGTGTGTTTCAGAAATAACCTAAACTCTATTAAAGTATTTATCTAATGTATGGAGTTTGGCTATTGTATGAAGTCACCTCATGACATAGAAATAGGGGTGACGTGAGACCACTTTACATTGTGGTCTTTCTGGGAAACGTTATAAACAACTTGGATTTATAGCAAGTATTTCAAGGCTGATAAAATTTAGAAGGTTACTACTAATGACTTAGCACCAACACCATGGAATATGGAATATGTGTACTAATCTTTTACAGTTACTTGCCACTTCTGTGTTTCATCGGAAATCTGGTTCCCTAGATGGCTTTCTGATTTCTGATCCTG